TTCTGACGAAACTGGTCGTCGGTATCATTTCGTCGGAAAAAAATAATTCGTCAGAATTTCATCGGAGTTTCGAACGAACACCGAAAAACCACATTTTGACAAACTTCTGACGAAACTCCCATAACACCTTCCGAGAACAGAACTCATCGGAATCACTATCTCCGACGAACATAAGTCGTCAGAATAAACCGACAAACCAAGGTCGTCGGTATATTCTGAGCAAATGGTTCGTCGGTATATTCCGATGACTTCGGTTTGTCAGAATATACTGACGACCTCGGTTCGTCGGTATATTCCGACGACTTCGATTTGTCAGAATATATTGACGACCTTGGTTTGTCGGTATATTCCGACGATATTTAGACGTCAGTATATTCCGAAGACATAGTTCGTCGGTATATTCTGACGAACAAATGTCGTCGGAATATACCATTTTTATTGTAATTTTTTTAATTTAAATATTTTTTATATTTAAAATTAATCTAAATAAACAAAATCTGAAATTTAAAACTAATAATATTATAGAATTTAAATTCATACAAACGTAAATAGAAAAAAAACATTCATAAAGTTTAAAAACACACAAAGTTTTAAAACTCAGAAGGAAACAAACGTTCTACCTTTTCCATTATCTGAGCGTTGGTCTTCTTTTGGGCTTCCAGCTAAGCAATGATAGTGGTGTTATGCTCCTCCAATGCCATAATCCGTTCATCTTTGTTCTGTAGCTGCTCCAGAATCAGGGGATCGGTATACGAAGCTTGCGAAGAAGACCCCGGACACGAAGAAGAACGACGAGCCGACCCAACTAAACGACCTCTTTTCCTTTTAGGAACCGCCTACAAAAATATTTAAAGTTAGTAAACTACATTATAAAATAAATATATTAATTAAAATTACCTTTTCAACCATATCGTTGATTTGCAACCGGAACATGTTGGTTGAAGCTCCCATAGAATCGCCGTCATCAGAGAGAGGCTGAGAAGCTAGAAGAGCTTCTTTTTTAGTTTCCACCAACTCAACGACAGATCTGATCACGGGGTCTTGAACTTGACCCGTCTTCATGTTAGTGTGAGCCTCCTTAATGAGAGTCAGACGAGCAACGGGATTACCGTCATTTGCTTCAATCTAAAAAATAACCATTAGTCAAGCAATAATATAAAAATATTTATTTAATTTAAAAAGGTTAAATAAAAAGAATAGAACTTACAAGTTGATCTTCCTTGGAAGACATAGAGCAAGCGCCGAGGTTGTGCACATACATACCTTGCCCGCCACGATTGCTCTTCCAGTTCTTGGAGTTCTTGCGAGATGTCATTGCAGTCTCGTCCTTCCTCCAATGGACTATTAACTGCTCCCATACCATCCCGTTGATGAACGTGGCCTCTTGTTCTTCTGCCATACTGTCTTCCACGCGTTGATCTGCTTCGTATAAGAGTCCATGGCCTTTTCGTTGAATCTCTGACGGACTGTTTCCGTGAGACAGACTCCCAAGTGAATTCTTGCTACAAAACACAGATAATTTAATAAGTAGATATATATAAAAATAATTGAAAATTCTTTTTAAAAATTGAAGAGTTACCGCAAACTGACGAAACCACAACTCCCGGCCCTCGTGAGGGATCACACTCCATTTCGGATATCCGGTACGGAGCATGTAATACATCATATTGTTGATGCTCCTGCTAATTCCATTGTTCGACTTGGTGAACCTTTTAAAAAATGCATGTTAGAAAGTTAACTAATGTAAAAAACGTAATTCTACAAATATAAAACCCTAAATATAATTTCATATAGAAAATATAAACAATATAATTGTATTCCCTTAACATTATTTAAGAAGAGATTCCACACATGTCATTTATATAATCAGTTTCACATTTTTTATGTTTTTTATTTTTTTCAGGTTTTTGGCTATATGTAAGTTATTTTATTTTGATTTTGTGTATATTTTTCGGTACTAATCTTTTTAATGTTTTCAAATTATTCAAATATTTTTCTATATAAGTATAGATGGTTGACCAATATTATTTTGGTCAAGGTGATTTCAGGTTGAATTTTCTGGTTAAAATTTTAGTTAGATATAAACCACACGATATCAAAATTTAGATAGGAAAACACATACGGAAATTTTTGAGGTTGAAATTGACTATTTTGCGGTGTGTTCTCTACGCTAAGCGGCATACACCTATTTCTGGAAAGGCTTTATAAATAGAGAAAATTACAAGAATATTATAAAAAGTTGGTATATAATTAGAATGATATACATTTTCTAAAAATTACGATAATGTTTTTAGATTCCTAAAAAATTACAATAAAGACACTTGTTTAATTTTTTTTTTAGATTAATTTTAATTATCAAATCTACATCACTAATTAGGAAATCCACGTTACTAATTTTTGTGACACGGGAAAATCAACCGTCTCCATATTTATAGTGAGTAAAAAAAAAAAAAATCATAACGTCACAACTTTCTTTTTTCGTTGTTAAACCCTAACTGTTACCCAAATCATCTCGTCTCGAACTGTCTATGATATCGTCTTCGTCGAAAACGTCTTCTCCGCAAAAGTTTCTACGCAATCGTCTTCGTCGCAATTGTATCATCATCTCCGGTATGTTGTGGCTTAGTCAAACTTATATTGAAACTGAGTTTGATTTACGATGTGGATGAGTTATAGATTATCTTGTAACTGAGTTATTTTATATTGTGGCTGAGTTTGATGTACGTTGTGATTTATTGCGGCTGAGTTATAAATTATGGTGTGGCTGAGTTATTGATTATGTTGTGGCTGAGTCTGTTGTTTTATGGCTGAGTTATACTATATTGTGGCTGAGTTTTGTTTCTATTACGGCTGAGTTATGTATTATGTTGTGGCTGAGTTTGTTGCATTATGGCTGAGTTATACTATGTTGTGGTTGAGTTTTGTTTCTATCACGGCTGAGTTATGTATTATGTTGTGGCTCAGTTTGTTGTATTATGGCTGAGTTATATTATGTTGTTGCTGAGTTTTGTTTCTATTACGGCTGAGTTATGTATTATGTTGTGACTAAGTTATTTTTTTCTATTGCGGTTGATTTATATATGAGAAAATTACTAGAATAGTGTAGAAAGGTTGGTATATAATTAGAATGATATACATTTTCTAAAAATTAATATAATGTTTTCAGACCCCTAAGAAATTACAATAAGGACCTTTGTTTAATTTTTTTTTTGAGATTAATTTTAATTATCAAATCCACATCACTAGTTAGGCAATCCACGTCACTAACTTTTATGACACGGGAAAATCAACCGTCTCCATATTTCCGGCGAGTAGAAAAAAAATCATAACATCACAACTTTCTTTCTTCGTCGTTAAACTCTAACTGTTACCCAAATCGTCTCGTCTCGAACTGTCTATGATATCGTCTTCGTCGAAAACTTCTTCTCCGCAAAATTTTCTAGGCAATCGTCTTTGTCGCAATCGTATCATCTTCTCCGGTATGTTGTGGCTTAGTCAAACTATATTGAGACTGAGTTTGATTTACGATGTGAATGAGTTATAGATGATCTTGTAACTGAGTTAGATCATGGTGTGGCTGAGTTATTGATTATGTTGTGGCCAAGTTTGTTGTATTATAGCTGAGTTATACTATATTGTGGCTGAGTTTTATTTCTATTACGGCTGAGTTATGTATTATGTTGTGGCTGATTTTGTTGCATTATGGCTGAGTTATACTATGTTGTGGCTGAGTTTTGTTTCTATAATGGCTGAGTTATGTATTATGTTGTGGCTGAGTTTGTTGTATTATAGCTGAGTTTATTATGTTGTGGCTGAGTTTTGTTTCTATTACGGGTGAGTTATGTATTATGTTGTGACTAAGCTAATTTTTCTATTGCGATTGATTTATATATATGCGTTCTAGGATCAAATGGATGTTTCTGAAGATTAAACACGAGATTAACCTCTAAGATTTTACGCTGAAGGGACTTCTAAAACTTAATATTCCTGCCAATCTTTGAAAACCTAATCAGAAGCAGTTTGTGTTCCGAAGGAGGAAAGATAAATACATTACAAAAAACGACCAAGTTGACGATTGTGGAATGTATTCATTGAAATTTGTGGAATGTTTGACGCTTGGAGTGACTTTTGATGTGATAAATGATAAGAATATTTAAGGTATACGAGTGAAGATGGCAACAGATATCCTCAAAGAAGGAAGAAATAGGATGTATCAGCCATATCGTTTCTATAAGCCAACCGTATCTCTTTATATAACTCAGCCATACCAAAAATATATCTCAATATCAAAAAAATTTAAAAAAAACCCAGCCGTATCGTTTCTATAAGCCAGCCGTAACGCTTCATATAACTCAGTCATACCACAAACATACCCTAAAAAAAGTTAATATAACCCAGCAGTATCGGTTCTTTAAGCCAGCCGTAACGCTTCATATAACTCAGTCAAACCACAAACATACCCTAATATTGAAAAATGTACTTAATATGTTATTAGAAATTAATATTATTAATATTAGATGAATATATAATCAACAGAGTGTGTATATTTCATTGAATTTACAAGTTTCGAATTGATCATGATCTTGAGGTATATATTGTCTTACAAATACTTAAAACCTTATGTGTCTATATAGGTGCTGAACGCACCAAATACAAAGTATACCATATAATATTTTTTTTTCAACCGAATTTGTGTAATTTCTTATATTTTATAATGGTAACTAAACCATAAAACCTCAAATAATTTACCCTAAATCCTAAAACATAAATTTATCCTAAACATAACTCAGCCGTAACATGTCAATAACTCATCCGAAAAGTGTAACTTAATCACGACGTTTCATATTTTTGGGCGGGAACTAAATACTTGCAAAACACTAGGGTGGGAGGGAACATTACGCAACCATGACCATTGATAGATTTTAATCTAAGGGTTCAAAATTATCATTTTATCTATCCTCACCCTTCTTTATCATTGGTTAATCTTTCTTTTTCAAGGATCACAATTTATGGCCATTGATTAAATAAAATCTAAAGGTAAAAAATCATTCTCTCATTTTCTAATAATTGACGAAACTTAACTGTTTCATCACTCTCTGTCATGTCCCCGAACCTGAGTATGATCGTCTGGACGGACCATGGTGCGAGGAGACGCATCAGTCAGGTCACGAGACCTAAAGGCAAGCATACCATGGTCTAGCAACGTGGTTAAGGGCATCAGGGAGCTGAGACTTAGCCATATAAAGAAGGAAAATTAGTTAAAGGAGCTACACGAGTAAAGGGGTAGCTCAACGGGGTTTTGGGACAGTTCGACCTAGCTCGGGGAAGCTCGGGTGAGCTCAGCCCAGCTCGGTCTAGCTTCACACTCACTGGTCAGCTCACACCAGCTGAATCCTCATGTTCCCATTCCTGGAACTTGACACAAGTCTTAGACATTCAATAGAAACGAGACTGCTTTGGTTCAGATCATGGGAATTGATCGTGAACAAGCTCGATGAAGTAAATGACCAGAATGGATCATGGGAAAACTAAGTCTAGGTCGGGAGATAGACCAAGGGATTTAGAAGGACTGTATAATATGAAGATAACAAGCTGTACGAAATGTATCACAGCTGGGTGATGCGAGCGAGAAGCTCAACCAGCTGGACGTAGCTCAGTTGGAGCTCAGTTGGAGCTCAGGTAGAGTGTGTAAGCTCCTTGAGATGGATGGACTAGCTCACTCAGATGGGTCAGTTGGGGATCAGCTCAACTCAGCTGTACTTAGTGTTCAAGTCTTGGACAGTTGGGCCGGGACTAGACAGAGACCGGGCCAGGTGGATGACCCATGTGTACCAATGGGCCAATGGACTCTTGTGGTTGGGCCAGGGGCCTGGGCAATCACTTTGGACTTGTTTTGGACATGTCCAGGAGTGGTTTGGAAGGCCCAGTACGCCTGGTAACTGCCTGTGGCGAATGGGTGTGATCTGGACCATTGATTAAATCAATGGCCAGAAATGGTTTTGAAAGGGTCCAACCTTGGAAAGGCAATTGTCCCTTCTTCTTTAAAAGGCAGGCAAGTCCGTTCCTTTGCAGGCACGCCAGAGATCCATTCTTCACCCTGAAACACAAAGAAAAACCAGAGAAAAACAGAGAGTTGGTCGGATGTCCAATCCAAACCCCAAGAGAGATTCAAAGGTAGCAAAGAGGCAGTTTTGTGGGCAATCAAGTGGGAAGTTATGAACGACCCCGTGATGGGTTTTCACCAATGATGAACATGTACCAGGCTTCCTCTACATTCATAGAGGACACGCAAATGGCCAGGGAAGAAGATAGATGACCGGATACACTCTCAAAGTCCAAGGGCAGCTTTGAAGGCAGATGTATGTAGAAAGGCAGTTTCATGGGCACTGAAAGGGGAAGTGATGCACGACCCTTGGGTGGTCTTTGATCGTGAATTATCACGCCCTAGGCTTCCTCTGTTTCCTGGGAACACACAAAAATGGTTAGGAGAGAAGGGAGAAGGCCTGACTCCACTGTCAATGGCATGAACAGTCTTGAAGGTGGATGCAGTGCAAAAACTGTTTTCATGGAAGGGGTGATGGGCACGACCCATGGTTAGATCTTATCAATACTTGAGGTATGTGATAAGGTCTGATATATGCATGATCAAGAGGAGTGTGGTCGTTCTTGATAAAGGAGGACACAAGATCAACATCCATTAAGTATAAGGTAACACAATTATGATTAGTTTCCAGTTTATGTTTCTGTCTCTTGTGGCGCTGTTGAGGCCAAGTATGGCACGCTGTTGGGGTCAAAATCGGTACGACGGAATTAATAGCCAAAACTCCCCGCGAAAATACAAAAAGAACAGTTTTATAAAACCCGAGGAATAGTTTTATAAAACTCAACATCATTTATAAAACCCGCAGACCGTTTTATAAAACTCGAAAGATCGTTTTATAAAACTCGAAGATCGTTTTATAAAACTCGAGAAATCGTTTTATAAAACTCGAGAATCGTTTTATAAAACTCGAGAAATCGTTTTATAAAACTCGAGAATCGTTTTATAAAACTCGAGAATCGTTTTATAAAACTCGAAAATCGTTTTATAAAACTCGAGAAATCATTTTATAAAACTCGAAAGATCATTTTATAAGACTCGAAAGATCATTTTATAAGACTCGAAAGATCGTCTTATAAAGCTCGAAGATCGTTTATAAAACTCGAAGATCGTTTTATAAAACTCGAGAAATCATTTTAAAAAACTCGAGAAATCATTTTATAAAACTCGAGAAATCGTTTTATAAAACTCGAGAAATCGTTTTATAAAACTCGAGAATCGTTTTATAAAACTCGAGAAATCGTTTTATAAAACTCGAGAATCGTTTTATAAAACTCGAGAATCGTTTTATAAAACTCGAAGATAGTTTTATAAAACTCGAAGATCGTTTTATAAAATTCGAAGATCGTTTTATAAAACTCGAGAAATCGTTTTATAAAACTCGAAAAATCATTTTATAAGACTCGAAAGATCGTCTTATAAAACTCGAAGATCGTTTTATAAGACTTGAAAGATCGTCTTATAAAACTCGAAGTTCGTTTTATAAAACTCGAAGATTGTTTTATAAAACTCGAGAAATCATTTTATAAAACTCGAGAAATCGTTTTATAAAACTCGAGAATCGTTTTACGAAACCCCAAAAAACCGAAAAAGCCGTAAAACGCGAACTAGTCGCAACTAGTTCGCCCATCGGCGAACTATGCCGGCCCGGCTTAGTTCGCCGATGGGCGAACTAGGACAAGCTCGACTAGTTCGCCCATCGGCGAACTAAGCCGGACCGGCTTAGTTCACCGATGGGCGAACTAGAGACGTCCCGGACACTCCGCGTCTCGATTTCCCGCATTCCCGATTTGAAACTTACGTCTTTCGACAAGGTCGCGTTCTAAACCACGGCCGAAATATCTCCCGTTCCATCTCGATCCGACTTACCGTTCGAGTTTTACGATAAAAACCGTAAAACTTCGTTTTCTCGGAAAGAACTCGAGGAAATCGTATAAAACGGCAACGGTTAAACGAAACACCGAACATTGCATAAACTATACGATTTATTCGAGATTTCTCGTTGAAATCATAAAAAACACACTTTTAACAAAAAACGCCGAGTAAGTCGCGAAAAACGTGTTTTTAATAAAAAGTCGAGTAAATCGTAAAATCTTGCGATTAACTCGAGAAATTTATTAAAAACGACGTCAGACCAGGAAACGATCCCGTAAAAAGTCAGAAAACGGTTTTTATCGCAAAACGGCCCGGAAGGACCTAAAACGCAATAAAAACCCATCTCGCGATTTCAACGGAATCAAACCCGCAGATTTGATAACATTTTGACGGTTTACTCGCGGAAGGAAAATAAAAGTCAAGTTTAAAGATAAAAGGAAGGTTTGAAGAGAAATAGAAGATTTCCGCAGAAGAAAAGGAAGGATCGAGAAAAATGGAAAATTCCCGATTTAGTCAGATCTGGGCGAAATGGAAAGATCGGATAGCCAAGACGAGGAGTATATAAAGAGGAGGTCTAGGGCAGAAGCAAGGGACACGAAATTGAGAGCTTTCACCACCAAAACTAGCATTTAGGAATATTTCCGTTTTTCTGTTAGCGAGCTGCGTCTCAATTAGGGTTTTCGTTCTTAAGGTTTTCGGCTACTCTTTTGTACCAGTTCTACGCAGACCTCTTTGCTCTCTATTTCATTTATTTTCATTCAAAACCTAAGTTATCGTTTTCTTAATCTTCGTTGTGCGGTTCTCGCAGATAGCCGGTTCTTCTGGAAACTTAGGGTTTTCCCGAAGTTTCCTTATTTACGATTATTTGACAGTAGGTGGAAATCGACACCCACAGTTTGGCGCTAGAAGGAGGGGGGGTCGGATCTATCTTACACCGTAGCCGCAACATGTCCAACGAAGAAACAATGGCTGGTGACAACAAAACTCGCGACGAACGCGACAACGTTGAAACACCACTACCAAAAGACGCGCCTGCGGCCAACGCTACGAACGCTAACGCCGAGACCGTCGAAAAGATGCTTTCCGAGTTTAATAAAAAATTGGAAGAGCAGGAAAAGCTCATTGGTTCGCTCGCAAAACGGCTCGAAACCCTAACTGCGATAACCAAAGCGATTCGCCCCCGCGGAACTACCAAGATCCTCGGAAGGAGACTCGATTTCGGCACTCCTACGGATCGTCCCAGAATCGATCAGGGAAACGTACCGGAAAAGGATTCCGGAAAAGAAAACCCTGACACGACGCTGAACGAATCGGAAAAATCTCCTATTCGCGAACAGGAGACCGAAGGCGACGGCATCGAACGGGTCAACCTGGAAACAAGCGACCAGGCCAACTCGACAGACGAAGACGCCGAAGTCCATCCTAGGAGAAGAAAAACTCGCAGTCCTCAACCGGAGTCTTCTCCCGAACGTTCCTTTACTGGAGACGAAGGGGAACTCGACTTCACACGATATGCAAAAACCGCCGAGGAGCGATCTCCGGTCACTCGCAGCAAACGCCGACGAGGTCGGAAAACTGCTGGCGATCAGACCGAGATTCGCGATCTCCGCGAATACATTACCAAAACGGCCGCAGCGGTAAAAGCGGTGAAATCTAAGATTCATCACGCGACCAGCGCCGCACCCGAGATCGATCGGCTACTGTATGAGTCTCGGAAAACGCCTTTCACGGCCCGTATCACCGAGATCAAACTGCCCGATCCCGGAAAGCTTAAGGTGCCAACTTACGACGGGACGTCTGATCCCAAAGCACACCTGCAAGCGTTCCAGATCACCATGGGACAAGCCAAGCTCAAGGAACACGAAAAAGACGCAGGTTACTGCCGCCTCTTCGTCGAAAACCTAGAAGGAGCCGCGCTCGAATGGTTCGCCAAACTTAGGCGAAATTCGATCGGAAGTTTCCGTCGACTGGCCTCGGAGTTCCTAAAGCAGTATTCGATGTTCATTAACCCGGAAACCTCCGGCGCCGATCTCTGGAGCTTGGTGCACGAGGAAGA